TTTGAAAAGAGACCAGCAGACTGGCAGGTGAGCAGGTCTTCGGGGACGGCCTGAGCTGCCTTTTGGTGACTAGCGACATAGGCAGAAGGGAGCCCTGACGGTCCGATGTGGTCCTAGGTGGCAGCTCGATGAGCGAGCACCCTGATCCTTGCGGGCATATCCCCAACACCGGGGTGAGGGGAAAGAAGCAAGTCACAGGAGGAAAAGTACACAGCACGAGCTCAGTTGTAGCAAGTTTAAGAAGATGTTAGATGATGTTCTATATTCTTTGTGGTGCCTGTACGTACCCACCTTCAGGAGAACCTTCCCTCAGGAGCAGAGGAAAAGGCCATGAGGCTGATGTGAGGCACAGGGGGCGAGAGCCGACTAGGTCTGTATTGAGTACATACTACGTGCCAGGTACTCTTCTAACAGGCTCACCTACCAGCCCATTTAACAGATGAGTAGACTGAGGCACAGAGCGGTCACGCGGCCTGTCCAAAGTCACACAGTTAGTAAGTGGCAGAGGCCACGCTCTGGATTACTAACCCACGTCGCCTCTCACACTGTGGCTCAGTGTTCCTCGTGTTTTGAGAAAAGACTTAAACAGTTGTGGTAAAATATTAACATGGGTAAAGTCTGGTGGTGTGTCCTTGGGTGTTCTTTCTTCTGTGCTGTATAATTTCCTGTAGGTGTGAAATGTTTACAAAAGCCTCTTCTGGCCCTAGGCCCTTTGCCCGGCTGTGATCCACATCACACAGGTAGTCCAGCTTCCCCGGGTGGCTGAGCAATGACCAGCTCACCTCTCCCTCCCCCCACAGTGCTCATGAGATGACGCCTGGCATATTCTCCTGCTGCGGCTGGGTGGCCTGGGCCCTGGGGAGAAAGGATTAGCCAATACCTGGGCTGCCCCATCGAGACAGGGAGGGCAAGTGGCCCCGCTGGGCAGACAGGTTGGCCCATGGCCTTTCCCATCACTCTGGGGAAGAAAGTGATGGCTATGTAATTAGCGGGCGTCTGGTCGGCAGGAGCTGATGCATGGCTGGCTGCCCACACTGACCCAGTCTGGCCAGCATAGGCTTTGGGTGTTCCTCTGGCCTGTGTGTCCTGGTTCTGGCATCTGGCAGTGCCCTCTGGGCTCCCGGAAATGTGGGCAATGCGCCTGGACCCTCAGGCAATCCTCAGGACCAATAGGCTGGGACCCAGAGTGGCCAGCAGTGGCCTGGTCTCACCTCCACCCTACCCCCACTCAAGAGGTAGGGAAATTGGGGCTGAGTTTGAGGCAGGGTCCTGCCTAGGGTCACAAGGGGAGTCGACAGCAGGATTGGGTGTCCTCTTGTGCCAGGAGGGGCCTGGCTGGGCAAGAAGGCAGCCTTTGGGCCCTGAAGTATCTGCTGACAGCCCACACGAAGCCAGTGTTTGGGGAAGAAAATCCGGAGGCTTCCTTAGCCACAGGCCTGGCTTCCGCCACTGTTTCCATCACATGGGGCTTGAGGGCACATCGGCTCAAAGAACCAGCTTTGTTCCTGCTGCTTAGGTAGTGTCCCCCTCCCCCCGACAAATGTCCCTGGCTCCAGATGGCATTTGGTGAAATCGTCCGGGCCATCTAGCCCATGGACCCCCGCTCTGGCAGGAGCCCAGGCCTCAGGGGCTATGACATTCACTGGTGCTTCTTAGCTTGTCCCCCGCTTAGGTAAGAAGGCAGGTTAGACGGGGCTGGAGTTGGGGGACTGCCTTGGTGGGGTGGCGGACAGCCTCTGAGAAAGCCTTTAATCCTGGAGAGTAGGCCTTTGTTATGGAGACCACTGTGGGAGTATTTCACTGAGGGCCACTTTCCCCTCCCCCTGCAAGAGCTGTGAGGGGGGCTTGAGGGCTTCCTAGAGGTAAAATCCCCAAACCATGGCCCCTCCTTTAGACTGTGAAATCCCACCCCCACCCCGGGAGTTCCTCAGCCTCACGTTCTTCTGCACTGAGCGCCCAGCAATTCGTCAACATGACCTTTGAAGCCTGCCGACAGGCTCTGGTTCCAGAAACTTCTGCTCCAGGTGACCAGATCACCACTGGGACTCTGGACTTATTTGTCTCTCCAGATTTGGGGGTGGCGGTTTACCCTCGGACCTCAGTTCTCGAATGGGTCTGGGAAAAGTCACCAGTTTTCAGTTTGTTCAGCCTCTTTCTTAGTGGCAAGACAGGAGTAACAACTTCCAAGCTCCTACACGCCAGAGAGGAACCAGAGACTCTCAGGCACCAGCTTGCTGTGTGATGCAGCCTGTGTTTCCTCGTCTGTCTAGTGGGTCTCAACACAAAGACTCTGTGCCCACATGCTGCCAAGACCTGTCACAACAGGCATGTTGGGGATCCTGGCAAATGTGAGTCCGTGGTGGAGTCACCAGTCAGAGTCTGGGCCCTCCAGCTTCCCTCCCCGTGACCTCAGGCAGCAAGCCTTCTCTGAGGTCAGACAGCCCAGCACACCAGAAAACAGCCAGGTGGGCACAGGGGCCTCGAGCCTAGTGTCCCATAGCTGCTTAATTATTAAATGAACTAATGAACAAGTCTCTAGGTTTTCCACCCGGACGGGGATGGGGGCTCATCATGACACCATGCTCTGGTCTCAGACCGTGCCTCGGTAACTGGCCATGCCAGGCGTGTAGGCTGGTGGGGAGGGTGTCTGCCTGGCCATCTCCTGTGGGAATGACATTGGGCATTGATGAGGCTGTCCCCAAAGTTCATGGCTATAGCCCAGGCTCCGTGTCCCCCCCTTCTCTCCCATCCCCATACACCCTTTCCAGGGCCCTGTGTTGATGTTATTATTATGGTCTGAATGTTTGTGTCCCTCCAAAATTCATATGTTGAAATTCTAACCCCCAAGACAATGGTATTAGGAAGTGGGGCCTTTGGGAGGTGATTAGGTCACAAGGGTGGAGCCCCCATGAGTGGGATTAGTGCCCTTGTAAAAAGACACGAGCTTGGTTCCTATCACTCTTTCTGCCATATGAGGATACGATAAGAAAGCCGTCTGCAATACAGAAGGGAACCATCACCAGAACCCAACTGTGCTGGCACCCTGATCTTAAACTTCCAGCCTCTAGAACTGTGAGAAATAAATTTCTGTTGCTTGCAAGCCACCCAGTCTGTGGTATTTTGTTGTAGCAGCCTGAGCAGACTGAGACAGGTATCATCGCCCTGTCTGACTCCAGGCTGGGAGGAAGGGGTCATTGCAGAAGCCCTTTTCAGCTCCTGTCTTGGCTCTGCCCTTGCCCAGATCATGTGCAGGAGGGCCCCTGAGGGCTGCATTTCCCAGGCTTCAGCTCCAGCCTCCACCTGCTAGGTAGGCCAGTGAAAGGAGCTGGAAGGCTAGAGGAAGGGAGAAGCCAGGGAATTTCTCTCCCTCTGTCTCAGGCAGAATCTCTGAAGGGCTTGCCTCCTCCGGTTCCACCAGACAGACCCACTGGGTGTCCGGCTTTGACCAGGTGACCCTCGCCCCTTGGCTTTAGTAACATTTCCTGCTGTTCCGCCAGTCAGGGACTTGTGGAATCTTCCTGCTGTTGCTAGTCTCAAGGTTGCCTCACTGTCCCCTGTATGGCTTCTTGGTCTTCAATTCTCTGCATTAAATTCCCCTTGTTTTAAATACTTAGAGATGTTTGATCTTCTGCGTACTCTCTGGCTCATACACGGCACCTGTTTGGGCCTAAGCCACAGACCTCAGGGAGCTCACAGTCCTGCAGAATCGAATCCACCCCCAGTCCTGCCATGAAGGGTGGCACAAAGACACAGATCCCCTTCCCCAGGGCAGCCCAAAGAGACCTGCCCAGGCTGGGTTTGTGAGTTGGAGCCATGAAGGCTAAGTAGGAGTTTGCCAGACAGAGAAGATGGAGAAAGGCATTCCTGGGAGGAGCAAGTGCCGAGGTCCACTTGGGAAAGTGCCCAGGGGTGGGGGGCGGTTTGGTGCCATGAGATTCTGGGGGGGGGGGGGCGTGTGTGTGTGCACACGCACGTGCGCGTGCATATAGGGGGTCCTGTCTGAGCAGCAAGAGCTGAGGCTGAGTCCCGGCCTGCCCTGTGTGTTGTACACCAGGGTTGCTCAAAGAGTGATCCCAGAATTTCTTGAATTAGAGATTTGTAGGGGCCGTAACAATCTCTGGGCCTCAGAGGTCCATTTTTAGGGGGATGGCTTGCTCCCAAGAGTGTGCAAACCACTGCCCTGGGCTCCGAGAGGCCTCAGACCTGGTTCAGCAGGGGAAGGACCCCATGGTATTTGCTTTTCAGAAAAACCTCTCTGGTTCTGTGGAGTGGTGGTGATGGGGAGGGAGGAGAGGCCTGGGGCTGCTGGGGAAGCTGGTTCCATAACCCAGGTGCGTGATACAGGGCAGAAGCTGGGGCAGGAGCTGGAGGATGGACTGGATGCCCACCCAGGAGGTATACAGGAGTGGGCGGGGGGGTGGGGGCTGGGGAGGGGCCGGCCTGCAGTACCAGGCTGTCAGGGAATCTGCTGACCCAGGAGGGCAGAAAGGGAAGAAGCCTGGGGTGGGGGCCGAGGTTGGATTCTAGAGTCTGCCCCATCCTCCCTCCCCACCCGGGGCCTAGGTTTCACTTCTTGTGAGTGTCAGGGCAACACCACCGGCCCTTTACACGGCTGCAGTCCAATTTTTAAGTGATTCTGTGAGCACTCCCAACCACTGGCTCCATCGTGTTTCTCCCCTGGCCCAGTCAGAGGTAGGGCCGGGAATCCAGGGGTCCAAACCTCTGGCTGGGGGCTCCTGCACGTCCTGCGCTAAAAAGCGCCGGGGGTGGGGGCCAGCTGCGTCCCAGACGGCAACGGGGAACACAGTCCACACCCAGGCCCCAGGAGGCCGGGTCACTGCCATTGTAACTGGAAAGACTCCAGGTCCAGGAGGAAGGGGCTGCCCCAACGGAGGGAACAGAGGTTGCGCCAAGTTCCGAGTTTTGCACCGCGCCCCTCTTCCTTCAGTCCCGCCGGGAAGTCCCCGACCAGAGGTAACCTCCTAGCAGGGGAGGTCTCCAAACCCCAGGCCCTGCGGGGCGGGCGCCCCAGGAGGGTGCTGGCGGGGCGAGGGGCGGGCGCTCAGGGCGCGGCCGGCGGCTACTCGTGGGCCGCACTGGGCCGGGGGTGCCCTCCCTCCGCCTCTTCCTCCGCGGGCCGGGCCGGGCCGGGGCGGAGCAGGGCGGCGGCATGGCGGGCAGGCGGGCCGGGGCCGGGACCGGGGTCTGGACGCTGCTTGCGCTGCTGGCGCTGCGGGCGCTCGGCGCCGCGGCGCACCCGCAGTGCCTGGACTTCAGGCCGCCCTTCCGGCCCCCGCAGCCGCTGCGCTTCTGCGCGCAGTACTCGGCCTTCGGCTGCTGCGCTCCGGAGCAGGACGCGGCGCTGGCCCGGCGCTTCGGGGCCCTGGCGGCGCGCGTGGACGCCGCGATTTGGGCCGAGTGCGCCGGCTACGCGCTTGACCTGCTGTGCCAGGTGAGCGGGCGCGCGGGCCGCGCGCCAGAGGCCTAGTTCCTAGATGGGAGGTCGGCTCTGGCAACCCCACTGGGGCAAGATCAAGGGTGGGCGGCGGGCTTTGTAACCCGAGCACACCACCCCCCCCCACCCCGGCAGGAGTAACTGGGCACGGGGCAGAGATTCGGGCATCCTGGGATGGCTCTGGGCTTTGCCATCATTAGCTTTGTGACTTGGGCTTTATCTGGGCCTCGGTTTCCCCTCCTGATGAGGTCATCACTCCCTCAGAGTTTGGGGGGCTCTTCTGCCCTGGCACCGCCTAAAGACCCCCAGTGCCGTGGCCCTGGAGAGCCCTGCCCTTGTCGGAGTACCAGGGTGGGAAGCCTTTGTCCTGCTCGGGGCTCCCCTGCGCTGCCCCCCGGGGAGATGGGAACCGCAGACCCCTGCAGAGGGCATGGTCAAAGCGCTGGACTTGGGTTTGTCGAGGGGTTTGGGGGCACACTGCTCCCAGTGAGGGCCCTTCCCCCAGCCTGGAGGAGCTGTCTGACAGCCCCTCAGTACTCCGGGGTCCTGACGTGCACTGGTGCTCGATCCTGGGTGACCCCCGGTGCTGAGATGTCCCAGGTGATTCCAGACCATACCTTGGTTTGTGCTGTGCCCTTTTCCTGGGATGGCACTCCCACCCGGCGTAGGCATAGGCACGCTCATCCTCCAAGACTACCCCAGTGAGATCCCCTTGGTGGAACCCCTCTGCCCCTGTGGGGGCTGAGTTCCCGCTTCTGCTCACACCAGACTGTGCCTTAGCTGTTCGTTTTCCTGACTCCGGAGTGCCTGAGCAGAAGTCCTGGCCGGCAATGGGTGGAGGCTGAGAAGTCCTAAGGCTGGCCCTGGCCCCGCAGCTGGACAGTGGGAGGACCCATGGGTGGAGGGGTCCTGCCCACACAGCACAGAGTCGTAGCCTTCAGCTGGCAGGGGCAGGCGCTGATGGGAGGAGCGAGAGGGCTGGCTTAGATCCAGACATACTAGGGTTCGATCCTGGCTCTGCCACTTCCTGGCTTTGCGACCCTGGGCAGGTCATCACTGCACTTCAGTTGCATCGTGTTTACAACAGGGGCGACCCTAGCTTCCCCCCCAGGGTTGCCATGAAGACTAAATGACACATACTCAGGGCTCAGTGGATGATTCTGCCTGGGTTTCTCTAGTGCTTCCTTGGCCCCCACTGGTTGCCCTGCCCTGAGCAGGGACTGAGTGGGGCCTACAGGCTGATTCAGGGAACGCCCAGAGCGGGAGGGTCTGGCTTGGTGGTCACACGACTCAGTGGTGGCCATGGTGGCACTTGGACCGCAACCGTTGCCATGTGAATGAGCCATCTGGGTAAGGAATGGGGGGGCTGGGAGCAGACAAGGAGACAGACCCTGGGGAGCTCCAGAATGCAAGGGGGTGGGCAGCTGTCCTTTGGCGGAGTCTGCTGAGTACCCACACTGTGCATCTCAGGGGAGCCAGAATGGTCTGGTCAAGTGTCCACCTAGCTCACCTGCCTGGGGACTCCTGGGGCAGATCTTCTGGTCTCCCCACCCTGGTCACATAGCAGAGTACGTGCATCCACCCCACTTTTTTTTAATTGAGCATTTACTATGTGCCAGGCTCAGCAGGGCCCAAAGGTGTGCAGGTCTGAGGAGGGAGAAGGGAAGGCCTGCTACCCCTCCCCTGGCAGGAGGCTCCCTCTCTCCTTGGGAACCTTCCCAGTACGGCCTGGCCTTGAGCAAGCAGCGGTAGAAGGGCCACTAGCATCTCACCCCAGGCATCTCTGGGAGTGACCTCATGTCTGGAGCAAGCTTGGAGAGTACACCCAAGGCTGGATCACAGTTTCCCTGCCAGGGCCTTGTGGGAGGGAGGGAAGGAGAATGCTAGATGGGGGATGGTATTCTCTGCAAGCCAAGGCTGCGTCTGGATTCAGCACCTCCAGATTTCCACGAGGGGAGGTGGCCAAGGTACTTTATTTACAAGCTTCAGTCAATGACGGCGTTCGGGGATCCGCACCTGCTTGGACTCCAGGTGGGGAGAGAGACCATGAAGCCATGCCTGCGCCCAAGTCCCCCCCCCCCCGAACCTGCCCCTACCTGGCACCCACAACTCCTCTAGATGCCCAGGATGGCTCCTTAGCCAGAGGCCAGTAGTCCCTCCTGGCCCCTTCAGACCCTTTCTTGGGGCTTTGCCCTCGTCCATCTGATGCCTATGTCACCAGGAGGAGAAGAGACAACTTGTGACACATGGCAGCTCAGGTCCCAGATTGATGGGAGCCAGTCCACATAGCGAACTTCCCATGTAACTGAGATGGCCTCTTTAGGTACCTAAAATCATCAAAGCATGGTTTCTGATAGGAGTCTGTGCAAAACATGCTCTGCAGGCTCAGGTACTGGGCAGACATTTCCTCGGAGCCTGTTAGGAGTTGGCCCTATGCTGGGTGCTGGGCCCAGAGGCAGTTGGCCAGTAGCAAGCTCAGTCTCAAAAGTCCCCTTGTTCAATTCAGGAGACAGACACACAGACACTTACCAGAATGGCCAAAAGGCTTCCCAAGGGTGACTGTGGAGCCATAGTGAGAAAGGCCACACTTACCCTGAAAAAGTCAGGGAAGCCTTCCTGGAGGAGGGGACGCTGAGTTGCCTCTTGATAGTCCGTATTGTCTGAGCATTATTTCAACAAACACATGCATCATTTCAGTTTATTCCTCCCAATGATTCTATGAGGTTGGAATTTTTTCCCCTTTTATAGATGAAGACATAGGCACAGAGAGGTTAAGGAAATTGCCCCAGGTCACTCAGGGAATGGTAGACTCAGTCTCCAGTGTGCTCTGACTCCAAAACCCCTCTCTTAATCACTTTGCCTGCCTTCTTGAAGCCCCAGCATGTGCTGGGCCCTGGGGTCCCTGCCCTGGATGGTCTCACAGCCTATGGGGTGGACACACAAAGAGGTAATTAAGTCCTAGTCAAGCAGACCAGCTGAGCAGTGGGGAGGTGACAGCAGAAGTGGAGAGCTCACACTGCAAGCTACAGAATTACAGTTTGGTGAATGTTGTGTCTGAGATACGGACAGAGAGCTGTAGGAGCATCCACAAGGGCTGGGGGATCAGGGCCCTGAGAGAATAGAGGTGTAAGGGAAGACTGTTGAGTTGCGCTTTGTTTTGAGTCATGAATAGGAGTTTGCCAGATGCAGAAGTGGGCGAGGAGGGAACGTCCTATGAGAGAATATTGTGTACAAAGACTCAGTCTTCCTGGGGAGCTCCCTGGCCGTCCAGTGATAGGACTCAGCATTTTCACTGCTGAGGGCCCGGGTTCAATCCCTGGTCGGGGAACTCAGATCCCGCAAGCTGCATGGCGCAGCCAAAAAATAATAGACTTGGTCCACCTCAAGAGTAGACGGTGGACATAAGAAGCCTTCGGGACTCAGGACCATGGGTCATGAGTGTCAGTGATGGCACATTGGCAACCTCGGGGCAATAATGTGGGCGGGCTGTTTGCCCCTGTGCTGAAAGGCCCAGACAGCTAAGCAATGTGATACTGGGTTGGTTTTCCATGGGTTTTCTGCTGCCTCCCGCTCACTGACCACCGTGAGGCTAGTTGCCGACTGAACTCCTTGCGAGCAGCGACCGCTGCACCCTCTTGTCATTTCCTGCTCTGGACTACTTAGGCCTGGGCACCAGGTTTGTATTGTGTGTAAGTAAGAGTGCATGGGTCACGAGTAAGGGTTGGCCGGACCCAGTGGGTTTGACGCATGGATGCTGAAATTCCAGCCTGGCTCCCTGGAGGCCCTCCCTGCTCCATCTCTAGCTCTGGGTGGGGTTTTGATGAGTGGAGGCTTTCAGATTGGCTTTCAGAAGTCTGTTTTGCTCCCCACTGTGTCTCTGGAGTGCCTGGCACAGAGTTGGCACCCAGTAAACACTTGTTGAATGAAACTCTGCTGAGTAATCTGAGAAAAGCCCTGGTCTGGGCATTGTGAGGCCTGGGTCTGAGCCTTGGCTTGGCCACTTTTTGGCACCTGGCCTTCTTTAAGCCTCAGGTTCTCATCTATACAGTAGGAATCACAATGACCCTACCTCGCAATGACTAAATGAGGCGTGTGTGCACACAGACCCTCCCTGGTCCACCCATGGCTGCTGGCTGGACTCACAAGAGGCTCCAGGGGAACCGTGGGAGAGGTGGCACTGCACAGAGGCCAGGGCCTGGCCGTCTGGAACATGTGGAAATGCTTTCCCTGTCTGGGCCTGGGCAGTACTGACCAGAAACACAAGCACGTCACCAAGTGGCCCTCAGCCCCACAGTAGCAGTAGCTGGGCCAGGAGGACAGGCCGTGGTGTGACTAAAAGCCACGGTCGTGTAAAGGGAGGGTACGGCCCCTGGCCAGGAGCCTGAGAACACAGTCAGGAGGGCAGCCTGCCACCCTCTGCCCCTGAGGGCCTCCTGTTGGAACCCAGCCTGGCCCTGCCTGTGAGGGCGGAGCGTGTGCCTGTCTGCGCCTCCCCTGCTGTGGGAAGAGCATCCCCTGATGCCTCGGGGGCCCAGGCTTGAGTCAGACCGGGCCTTGGCCTGGTGAGCTCACGCAGGGGGTGGGCGGGGGGTACCAGACTCATAACAGTTACATATGCTCAGGTCAGAGGCTCTAGCCGAGGGAGTCCCTTAGAGAGCCTGGGGTGCTGAGGCCTCTGCTCTGGGGGGCTCTCAGCTCTCAGCTCTCAGGTGGTGGGCGCTGGAGCCTGAAGCTGGGAGAGGCCTGGTCACATTTGTTGCCACTGCCTGGGTTCCCAGAAAGCAGAACCTGGGGCAAAGCTCATGGCTCTTTCCCTTATTATGGTGAGAGGACGCTGTAAGCAGACGTGGCAAGGGGCAGAGGGAGAGCCCAGTCACGGATGCAGTTGCGAGTCGGCTGCTGCCAAACGTGACTGATGCTTGAATTGGCAAGACTGTGGTTCCAAGAAACACACAAACTGTGAATCAGGACTGTCCTGGGGCGGGGGGCGGGGGGAGGAAGGCGGAGCAGGTTATCTGTCAGTTCCCTTCTCCCAGGGGTCAAAGGTCTGTCACATCAGGCATTAACTCCCCCACATTCCGGATGGGGCCCACGTGGGAGACGAGTGGGGTCCCAAGCGTCTCATCAAGTGGGGATGCCCTCGGTGGGAGGTGAGGGGTGAGCCACGGCTGTTGGGTTTTGCCCTGTGACGTTAGACCCCAGGACCAGTGAGGTCAAGAAGGTCTGAAGAGGTGCCCGGGGGTGGGGGGTTCCTGATTCATTTGTGTCACAGAACAACAGCTCTGGTAGCAGACGACAGCCCCAGGGCCCTGCCTGGGAGGGGCTGAGCCCAAGGTGACTAAGGGATGGAGGAAGGGGGTCCCGGTGGTCAGGGGAACATGTGGGCATGTGCGTAATCAACGCACTCACACGTGTACATGCACCAGCCTCCCCGGTGCTGGGAGGATGCGGTTGGCCTGAGACCAAACCCAGATCCTCCATGCTGACCGATGGCGCTGGGTGACACTGGAGGGCCCACACCTGGGTCTCCCCATCTGTAGCACTCTCATGGGCTCTTTTTTTTTTTTTTTAATTATTTATTTATTTATTTATTTTTGGCTGCACTGGGTCTTTGTTGCTGCGCGTGGCTTTCTCTAGTTATGCCAAGCGGGGGCTACTCTCCGTTGCAGCGCGTGGGCTTCTCATTGCAGTGGCTTCTCTTGTTGCAGAGCTCGGGCTCTAGGCACGCGGACCTCAGTAGTTGTGGCTCGCGGGCTCTAGAGCGCAGGCTCAGTAGTTGTGGCGCACGGGCTTTGTTGCTCCGCGGCATGTGGGATCTTCCCGGACCAGGGCTCGAACCCATGTGTCCTGCATTGGCAGGAGGATTCTTAACCACTGCGCCACCAAGGAATCCCCCCTTCATGGGCACTTGTGATGATTAAATGAATAATGGAGGGAGGAGCCCTTATTCCCTGTTAAGGGCTGGTCAGGGTGGGTCAGTGCTCAGCACAATCCCTAGGTATTCACTGTGGGCCTCCTATGTGCTAGACATGGTCTCAGGCTCTGGGATACGGCAGTGCCCAAGACAGGCAAAACTCCTGCCCTCGTGGAATTTAGGTTCTGAGGAGGACAGACAATAAACATGTAAACACACTGATTTTATAATAATATCAGGGAATGTTAAGATTTTGTTTTTTAAGCCGAGTCAGAGGCCAGGAGGGAATGGGGGTGATGGCTGGGTGGTCAGGGAAGACTTCCTGGAGGTGCCCCTTGAGTAGGGATCTAAAAAAAGTGAAGTGAGGGAATTCCCTGGTGGTCCAGTGGTTAAGAATCCATGCTTCCAATGCAAGAGATGCAGGTTCGATCCCTGGTCAGGGAACTAACATCCTGTGTGCCATATGGTGTGGCCAAAAAAGTTAATTAATTTTAAAAATTTAAAAAGTGGAGTGAGTCATGGAGGTATAGGGCAGAGGCAGCATATTAAAAGAGAAGGTGTATAAAAATGCCTCAGATCCTTTCTGGCACACAGTAGGTGCTTAAGATTAGCTCCTGATGCTAATGTTAGTAGTAGGAGTGATAGTGTGGTTATTCTAACAGAAGCATCAAGGTGAGAGAGAAGGAATGAAGGCGAGGAGATACCGGCCCTGTGTGCTGCTGCTGTAGTTGAGACAGTTGGTGGTAATGGACAGATGGCGTCCTCCCATTTTACAGATCAGCAGACTGAGGTTCTAGGAGATGGGATGACCTGCCCGAGGTCACACAGCTGGTAAGACCACCCCGGAGCATCCCTGAGCCGTCCCTGTCTGTGCAGGAATGCTCGCCGTATGCGGCCCACCTCTACGACGCAGAGGATCCATCCACGCCCCTGAGGACTGTGCCCGGGCTCTGCGAGGACTACTGCCTGGACCTGTGGCAGTCGTGCCGGGGCCTCTTCCGCCACCTGTCGCCCGACCGCGAGCTCTGGACGCTGGAGGGCAACCGCGCCAAATTCTGCCGCTACCTGTCCCTGGACGACACGGACTACTGCTTCCCGCACCTGCTGGTCAATGAGAACCTCAACTCCAACCTGGGCCGTGTGGTGGCCGATGCCATGGGCTGCCTGCAGCTCTGTCTGGAGGAGGTGGCCAATGGGCTGCGCAACCCCGTGGCCATGGTCCACGCCCAGGACGGCTCCCACCGCTTCTTCGTGGCCGAGCAGCTGGGGCTGGTGTGGGTCTACCTGCCTGATCGCTCGCGGCTGGAGAAGCCCTTCCTGAACATCAGCCGGGCCGTGCTCACCTCGCCCTGGGAGGGTGACGAGCGGGGCTTCCTGGGCCTCGCCTTCCACCCCAGCTTCCGGCACAATGGCAAGCTCTACGTCTACTACTCAGTGGGTGTGGGCTTCCACGAGTGGATACGCATCAGTGAGTTCCGGGTCTCCGAGGATGACATGAACGCTGTGGACCACGACTCGGAGAGGTGGTTCCCTGGGAGCCCAGGCGGGAGGGGCGGGGCTGTGAGCATGGATGAGCCCTGGCGTGACCACACATGGCCAACTGGAGTTGTGCCCCTCAGGAGTTGTGAAATATTTTGAATGTCACGCTTGGTGAGGGGGCCGAACCCCCTGTTCTGGGGTCAGGGGAGGGGTAGTTGCCAAACAGACATCACCAGGTCATGTCCAACTCCTGGATCAGGTACTTTAGATGGTGCCTTTCATTTGGTTCTCATACAGCCCCATTTTACAGATGAAGAAGTGGAGGCTCAGAGAGGTAACGGGACTGTTAGGTCACACAGCTAGGAAGTGTCAGAGCTGGAACCCTGGTCTGTCTGCCTCCCTCCCAGGCCCAACCCACTGCTCCTACCAGGGCACTGTGGCCCCAAGGCCCCAGTCTCACCTGGCCCCACCTCCTATTTCTCACCTGGCCCCACCTCCTATTTCTCACCTGGACCTTCTGCCCCCCAGGCAGATTGCTCTCCTCCCCACCCTCCCCCAACAGCTTTATCCGTTCCTTGCCTCCAGGCCTCTGCTCCTCTCAACACCCAGCCTGCTCTCTGGGTATTAGTTATGCCCCAGCTGTTTTCAAAACAGGTTTGACCTAGCCTGGCAAGAAGGGCATACATAATCTGTCTCCAATGGGAAAATAAATCCTGTACCAGGTAACTCAAATAGGCAGAATTTGATACTGGGAATTAGTTCCTCGGGTGTTGGAAATGATGAAAGAGCAACCTGGAGAAGAAGGGAGGCAACTCTGGGTTTAACAACTGGAGGGAGCTGCCTCCGTCTCTTGGGCTGTGAGAAGTGGGGTTACTGGAGCCCCTGAGCTGGGGCCACTTGGTGGAAGCTAGAACCATGGTGGACCTGGGTCAGGGGAGCTGGAGCCAGCTGGAGCCAGGGACTGCCAAGACACTGCCTGAAACAGACAGAGAGAGAGAGAGGGAGAAATACCGCTGCCTCTCCACCTGCTACTCCCCACTCCCCGCCCTCCAGTCTCTGGCCAGTGCCTTCCACTGGCTGAACCTAGCTGGAGGCCACGTAGCGGAGGAGCATGGGAAATGTAGTTTTCAGGAGCTGGCCCCCTGAAGTAGAGGAGCATGTAAGGGGAGGACCAGGACTGATCTGAGGGCAAATAGACAAATAATAGCACATGATGCATTCAATAAAATTGTAAACTCTTGACATTGAACTTATAAAAAGAAGGAGTTAAATATGCTGGCTAACGTGAGGTCTAATGTAGATTTTGCCTGTGAGCTTCCCGGCAGCCAGGGCAAAAGGAGAAAACATAATTCTCATTACCTTATATGAGGCTGCACAACCAGTTCTCCAAGAGAGGCCAAGTTTATCACATGGATCTCACAGAGGGGAGAGAGAGGGACAGAGTGGATGTGTCTTCAATGGTGACTTTTAAATATTGATTCCTGATGAAGGCTGAAGGTGGAACACAAAATAAACAGATGAATATATTGCAGAGTTAGGGTTCAGCAAAGGCTCTATGGGGACCTCACAAGTACGAGCCTAGAAATTGACTCTTGCAGGGGCAGAAGTAGTCACAGCTGGCTCAGGGCAGAGCCAGGAGTGAGTGATCATCCTTGCCTGAGTCAGCTGTCAGTCTCTGTTCTCAGGGCTGAGACCCCAATGGGAGATGGATGACCGACAGTCTGAGCTGTCCTCTCCATGGAGGACCTGGAGTTTGGGGTTGTGTATGACTTACCAAGTCGTGTGTGTTGGCCTCACAATAGAAAGGCTTCTGGTCTTGGCTCTGAAGGTCCAAAGTCCTGGGTTCAAGTTGCTTGACATTTCTGTATCTCGGGTTTCTCATCTGTATTAATAAGGGCTTGGCAAGTCAGTCACCAATCCTGGAAAACCTAAACCAGCCCAAGCATTTCGATCAGAGGGAATTTAGTACAAGGAGTGGCTACAAAGGGATTGGGAGGGGTGGAGAAGGAAAAGGGGATGGTCAGGTTACCTAAAGATGAGTTCCTGTGAGAAGCTAGAGGAACAAAAGGCAAAAGCATCTTTGTGCTGCTGAGTTTTGCCCCTCCTGGTACCCAGATGTCTGGGTGGAAACCCAGGAGTCCATATTTGCCAGCCACTGTTGCCCTTCCTGCAACCACCCCTTCTGGAGGCAGCACCAGAAACCAGGGAAATGTGGCCCCTCCCTTCTCCTTGCCTTCCATCGTCCCTTGGCAAGCCCCTAACCAGAAGCCAGCTGGCTGGCAGTATGGTGGAAGGTTCCACCCTGGCAGGAAAGGAGGTTGCTGAGGAATGAGTGTGATTGAGCACAACCCACACCATCCAGCCCACCTCCTTAGAAGCTACAGCATATAATCAATGAGAGAGTGTGTCAGAAGTGCTCGGCTTAAGTGGCTGGCGTGTGGGTAGCTATGATGACGAAGAAACCAGTTGTGCCAGTGATTGGGTCAACAGCTTCGCTTGATCCTAACAGGGCAGGTGCTAGCTGTGGGGAGAGTGGAAAAAGCGCTAGAACAGAACTAGCAGTCCTGAGTTCTAGTCCCAGCTCTGCTATCTACGGGCTGTGTGACCTTGCGCAAGTTGCTCAACCTCTCTGAGCCTCTCGGTTCTCATTGGCACAATGGCGTGAATTATTCCTCCTGCCCAGCCTGCCAGATCCGTATAAAAATCACCTGCTATAAAGGATATGAAAAGTCTTTCCAAATATGAAATGGCATCCAGGAGACAGGAGGTTTTATTGCTGTGATCTTGTTTTGTGTTTTGGCTGAGGTTTTTTTTTGGGGGGGGCGGGGTGCTTATCTTCTTTTAGGATAATCCTGGAGATCGAAGAACCAGCCTCGAACCATAATGGGGGCCAGCTGCTCTTTGGGGATGATGGGTACCTCTACATCTTTACTGGAGATGGCGGGATGGCTGGAGACCCCTTTGGAAAGTTTGGAAATGCCCAAAACAAGTATGTTCTGATTTGGTTGGCTGGTGGGTTGTTTTACATACTCCTAGTTTACGTACTATCCTGGAGGGTGGGGGTTACTTCCTCAGCCACGAAGTGCAGGGTAGTAGAAAGGGCTTTGGACCCCAGCTCAGTCTGCAGCTAGCTAGCTGGGGGACCCAGTCACTTCCTCTCATCAGTTAGAGAAGAAGAAGAATCCCCATGGGGGATAATAATCGTCATTATCTAGTCATGAAGAACAAAGGCCGTCACGTTGTCATGGGTACCTGAGAGGTGACATCACAGAGCCTCTGGGAAGATCAGATTTTCTCTGAAGTCTGCCCAGCCCTTCTGGAGCCAGAGGAAGGGAAAGGGTGTTTTCCAGACCTAATGGGGAGTGTGGGCTGGTTGGGGCAGGGCTGTGTGGCTGGGCATGTGGGTTTTCTGCCCCAAGGGTCACCCAAGATGGCCCAGAAATTGAAGCACAGTCTTGCTTTCAGTTCCTCACTTCTGGACTTGAGTAGATGGCCTGCCACCATTCCCCTCCTTACACACACACACACACACACACACACACAAGTCTCATGCATATAGATGAGGATATCCAGGAGTCTGAGGGCAGCCTCCTCCATTCTCTTAGTCAAAATCACAAAACCTTCCTCAGCCCAGAAAGTAAAAAGAGCGAGTATGCTGTTGGTTACAGCAGTTAAAGTGCTCCCAATTTGTGACTTGTGCTTTCATATGTGACAGCGTAAGAATCATTGCAACGTTCTCATGTTTGGGATGTATTTAGAGATGAGGTTGAGAAAATAGAAATTAAGGATTTGTGGATAATTGGACAGGACTTAAAACATTACTTTGCTGTTAGGAGTTTTGCCCACTTATATATCAAAGCTTGGTGCGTGGTGTATGGGCTCCGGGGAGTAATCTGTAGCTTGGTGCTGAGCAGACTGGAGCGTATGAGAGGAACTCACTGGGGCAAAACCTAGAAGTCCACAATAGGGGATTAACTGTGGGACATCTACTGGGGGAGAGCATTTTATCATCATGAAAGAGAATACTTGTGAGGTACCTTTAATGAGGAGGGAAAAGCTTGGGTGCTGATGCTATGTGAGAATGATGCGGTACACAGTTGCATCAAATGGGCGGACCAGCCAGTCCTGCCTTGAAAAGCAAGCCAAAGGGAGTGCACCAAAATGCTAACAGCTAGGGGAAAACCACGCAGTAAGTAAGCGCATCCAAAAATCACAGATGAAGAGGGCGTACATCTTTAAGCATGTTACAGGTTCCATCATGTGTCACTTTTGTTATGCAATGAATGAGACCCAAAAGCCGCTCACCCCCAGTGGCTGCATGGAGGTTAGGGCTGCACCCCGTTCTGCGCGGCTCTGGAGGGCACATCCTGAGGTCTCCTCGCTCCAAGGGCTCCAGAAGCTGATGTTGCACGGTGCCGAGGAGTGGCCTCGCTTCCGGTCCAGAGCTGCCTGAGGAATCTGGCAAGTTGTCCCCCTCCTCTTTGAGATCAGGGTGGTGTGTGTGGAGTGTGGGGTGAATGAAACCGCTTCTGAGGCCTGTTTGGCTCCCTGGCATGCTGCGATGGCACTGGGGCTGTATGAGAGAGATGGCGAGTACCCCAGCCTCCCATTTCCTGCTAAGATCTGAGGTGCTCTCTCTCCTGTCTCCCTGCCCTGGCCTGTACTCTTGTATGGGACACTTGACTTTGATTGCAGGTGTTCATTCATTCGCTCAGCAAACACTTCATGAGCACCTGCTACGTGCTAGTCACTGTGCTAGGTGCTGGAAGAAAGCTGTAAATAGAAATAATTTTTTCTGGTATGATTTGCACCCCGTAGCACAGCCCTGTGAGGAGGCAGGAAAGAGAGGGGCCACCTAATATCACAGTGGATGACACCAAGGTCCGGGGAGATTAGAAAGTGTGGTAAAGAGCTTGGATTTCTGCAGCCAGGCTGCCTAGGCTGGATCCCAGTCCTATCATTTCCTGGGAATGTTTTATGCCCTTTCTGAGCTCAGCTGCCCCATCTGTAAAAAGGGGATCACAATAGCACCCACCTACCTAAAAGATTCGTTGTGAGGATGAAACAAAGCAATAGATGGTATGTATGCCCAATACTTAGGACAGGGCCTGGGACTTGGTAAGGTGCCCGATAAATGTCGAATGAATGAATGAGGTTACCCAGCTGGTAAGTGGCTGAGGAGGTCGTGAACCTGGGGTCTCTGGCCGCACAGCCGAGGCTCTCCTTGCACCTGGGTTGGCCGTGGGCCCCGGGCCCCGGCACCCCCATCCCCGCACCTGCCCCGCGGTGCCCGAGCCCCTGGCGCGGGGACACCCCGAGCCGGCTCCTTCTCTCACCCGGCCCGCAGGTCGGCGCTGCTGGGCAAGGTGCTGCGCATCGACGTGAACCGCAACGAGCGCGGCCCGCTCTACCGCATCCCGTCCGACAACCCATTCGTGGGCGACCCTGCCGCGCGCCCAGAGGTCTACGCCCTCGGGGTGCGCAACATGTGGCGCTGCTCCTTCGACCGCGGCGACCCGGCGTCGGGGGCGGGCCGCGGGCGCCTCTTCTGCGGCGACGTGGGCCAGAACAAGTTCGAGGAGGTGGACCTGGTGGAGCGCGGCCGCAACTATGGCTGGCGCGCCCGCGAGGGCTTCGAGTGCTACGACCGCAAGCTGTGTGCCAACACCTCCCTCGGTGACCGCCCCCCGCCCCCTACCCCCGCGCCCTCGAGAACCTGTCTCCCCGGATCTGACCCCCACTCCACGGCTGTGCGCCCGCGCCTCCCTCCGCGGCCAACCGCGCCCCCGACCGGGACTTCCTTGCCCGCGCAAACCCATGCCCTCCCCCCGCTTTACAAACTTGAAACACCACCCTTTCTGGTTGACTGTCTGGGGCCCTCTCGGGAACTTCCCCCCCCCCCCCCCCCCCCCCCCCCCCCCCCCCCCCCCGCAAGACTCAGGACCACCCAAGAAGCCCAGTTGGGAACCGGCCGCAGACTCACCCAGCCTCTCCCGCCCCTGCAGATGTTGCGCTGCCGATTTTCGCCTACCCGCACCGACTGGGCAAGTCGGTCACTGGGGGCTACGTGTACCGGGGCTGCGAGTACCCGAACCTGAACGGCCTCTACATTTTCGGAGACTTCATGAGCGGGTAAGTGGCCTGACAACATTTCTGAGGGGGCAGGAACTGCAGAGGTGAAGGGTGGGGGAATGTACAACACTCTTGACAGCCCCGGGGCCATCTGGCTCCTGTGAGCCAGGACCTGCCGTTGCGCCAACAGGCCAGAGAGGTCACCCTGCTGGAGAGAGGGGAGCTGGGGCTCCAGCTGGGGTCTGCCCGTGGGACCCGTGGAGCCATGCTTTATGGCAGTGTTGCCTCCACCCACTGAGCCCCTAGAGGGTGTGTGTGTGTGTGTCTGGGAGAGGGGTTGGGATGAGTCACACCCCAAACAGTTTTCAGAGGGGGTAGAACATACCTCCCAAGCCTGCTGTGGGTCAGACTCTCTCCCCAGGGGAGCTTATGGAGACTCATGACCGTCTCGTTCTCCTGTTGTATAGAGGGGGAAAACTGAGGACCAGAGAGGCCCAGGGAAGCTATACACCTGGCATGATGTTTAAAAGTACAGCTGAGACGGCCTATGTTCAAAGCCTGGCACGCTTGTTAGCCTGTGACCTTGAGCCGGTTACTTCACCACCCTGTGCTTTAGTTTCCTCATCTACAAAATGATAATAGTACCTGCTTACTAGGGTCGTTTGAGACCTGTTCATACATATACAGCACTTAGAATCTAGAATGTGCTCAATTTCTGTGTTTTGTTTTTGTTTGCTTGTTTAATAAGGTGGAAGGATCTGTTGGTTACCTGAGGACCCTTCCAGCCTCATGTGAAATGAATTTTTTGTTTGTTTGCCACACCGTGCAGCTTGTAGGATCTTAGTTCCCTGACCAGGGATTGAACCCGGGCTCCCTGTAGTGGAAGCGTGGAATTCTAACCACTGGACCACCAGTTCTTAATCATTCCCACCCTAGCCTCTCCATGTAAGGGCAGCTGAACTGGGTCCCTCGGGAGAGGAAATAAGGAAGCCCGAGGCTGGCAGAATTCTTACCTCCTCCAGGCTGCTGACCTAGGGTGGCTTTGTGGCCAGTGCATCTACAGCTGGAGCTGACAGAGAACCCTGACCTGGGCCTCTGGTTGCTGGGTCCTTCTCCCAGCTTAGGGTCTCCCTCTGGGACTCAGTTATCTCATCTGGAAAATGGGTCTAGATGAAACCCCCTTTTTTTTTTACCGCGATTCTCCTTTTTCCCTTCTGCTGTCCCCCAGGAGTGCCCAAGCCACCTGAACACAGAAATTCAATGAATTTTGCCAACACTTCCCAAACCCCTCTGCTGGGTCAGGCTTCGTGCCAGGGCCAAAGCAACAGAGTTGACGAGTACCTTGTACCAAGTCAGGGAGACAGACCCACACTCGGTCCACTCGAGTCCAGCCTCAGAGAGCCTGTGAGCGGTGCTGGGAAAGCCCAGCACAGGGGCAGTCAGGAGGGCTTCCCAGAGGAGGGGATGACCAAGCAGGGCCTGAAAGTATCAACAGGTGATTGACAGGCATAGAAGGGAGTAAGGGACAAGATCAACATTTTCTGAAGATGCCAAATTCTCCATTTCATGCTCCGAAGTGGAGGCAGCTCCAGAGTACGTGGAAACTCCTGGGCACCAGCCTTGGAGGCTTCTGAACCGGAAGTCAGCTCCTGACTGCCTCCTGCTGGTCAGCAGGTGGGGTTGAGCTGAGGGGGCAGGAACCAAGCTGGTCTTGTCACCCCTGTGCTTCTCCTGGTACATAGCAGGTGTTCAGTAAAGCCTCCACCTGAGTCAGACTTCATGGATGTGCGGCCTGTGCGCTTACATGAGGCTCCGTCTCAGAAGTGCCCACGCTTGGTTTAATGCTCTGCTGTTACTGTCTTGAAATTTTTAGTACGTTTTGAACAAGGGGCTCTGAATGCTCACTTTGCACTGGACCCTGCAAGTTATGTATGGTCCTGGTTGCGTGGATAATAGATGATTGGATGGATGGATTGGTGGGTGGGGTTCCCTCGGGCGCCCTGCCAGGCATGACCCCACAGCCCATCCTCCTTCGCAGACGTCTGATGTCCCTCCGAGAGAACCTGGGGACAGGCCGGTGGCGGTACAACGAGATCTGCATGGGCCGTGGCCAGACCTGTGCGTTCCCGGGCCTCATCAACAACTACTATCCACACATCATCTCCTTCGCGGAGGACGAGGCCGGTGAGCGCTCCTGAGGCCTCTGCATCCAGGCTGCCGATGCCTGGGACTGTGCCCCACCCCGTGGGTCCTTCTGGCCTGGGATTCGAGGGATGGCATCTCAGGCCTGAAATCACCTTCTGGCTGGAGAGTGACGTGTTCAGAGGGCTTGAGCCTTGCTTCGGTGTCAGTTCTCACTCATCTGAGCTTCCATTTCCTTATCTGGAAGATGGGAGCAGTGGTCCCCGTCCTTCCCTTTCCCCAACTCTCACCCTGGGCAGGCTTGCCAGGAGGGATAGCGTGACCCCACAAGTAAGAGTCCAGGGCAGTTACGGGACCAGGAAAGGATCTGTGGTGGTGGAAATGCAGGCAGGTGGGGGAAGAGTGCCTCCCTGGGGACCTCCAGCTCCCTGGGTTCCTGATGGCAAATGTATCGGGGCCTGTAAATGAAGCCGCGTTGTCTTCAGAAAGTGGTGGGCACCGCTTTCTTGCCTATTAGTGGGTCCCCCATTCAGGCACTTGTGTTTTCAATGCAAGGAGCAGAGGGGGAGGGGAGAGGAAGAAGGAACATGGAGGCTGGATCCCGCCTTTGTCCTTGGCCCCGGATTGTCCCCGGACAAAAGCTGAGGGGCCCCCAGTGGGGCCTGGTGGATGCTTGGCCAGGTTACTAAGCAACGCCTTTCCAGGGGCCTTTCGAGAGGTGTCCCCTGCAGGGCCCAGTGCCCAGAGCCCCCAGGCCTGAGTCTGGAAAACCTTTGTTGAACCGATACCCATCAGAGTCTAAATTTTCAAAAGGGCAGCCTCAGACCCCACCACCCTCCCTGAGCCCACTGGACCCTTGAAAGCCATTTCTTTTGGTCATTAGGGAGTTAACATGTTTTGGAAAGGGGGGGATGCCCTCCCCCTACCCTCCTCCGCCTCCAGAGCCCAGACCCAGAGGAGGGCCTGGAAAACGCAGTTCCCAGGGGGCCCTTCCTCAGCCCTCTGAGTGACACCAAGGGCTGGACAGCCAGGAGGAGGCCCCTCAAAGACAGACAGCCCAGGGGTAGCATGTTGGTGAGTTGGGCAGGTGGTCCCGGAAGGCACAGAGACCTGGGGGTCTGATGCCAGCAAACGTCTCCCAGCTCCCTCTGGCCTCTGCCTTTCTGCATGATCTTCTGACACCTGCAAATTGCAAAACAAGGACCTCTGCTGGCCCAGTGTCCTCCAGGGACAGTCCATACCGCAGACACCAGGAGGGTAGTGTGGCCCTGGGCAGGGCTTAGCAGTGCCATGGGGCTCCCCGCCCGTGCACGGGGTTGGGGGCTTCCCGCAGATTAAGGCTGGATGGGGCCTTGGGGTGCACCCGGTCCAATGCTGTCACTTTACAGATGGGGAAACTGAGGCTGACTTTTCCTGCCTGGTCGTGGGGTGGGTGGCACTGGACATAGCCTGGCCCCTGGAGGCCTCCCAGAGCAGGACCTCAAGCTCAAGCTTGGTCAGGCAAAGGCAGACAATGGAGAAGGGCATCCAGGCCAAGGGAGCAGCATGTGCGGGGAGCTCCGAGTTGCTCCAGCGCCTGGAGCATAGGGTCAAGGAGGGCTGCACAGCCAGGGAGGGGACCGTGGCCGCTCCCAAGGGCCTCTCTCCAGAAAGGAGCCCAGAAAGGGAAGTAAGGCTCAAAGCCACATGCAAATTCATAGCTGTGCCTATGGACTCTCCAGCAGGGGCCTGCTTGCCAGGGGCCCTGCTCCCTCCCACAGGGTGCATCACACCTTGTGGGCCTATTCCTCCCCCCACCGACTTGACACCCCCCCCCACCCCACTCCCACTGGCCACGCTCCCACCACCCACCAAGTCAGGGCTGGTGCTCCTGGAGGGAGGTCAGGGGCCATTGACCACTCAGCATCCTGCCCTCCCCAGCCCCCAGCTCCCTGCCACAGCTGGTCTACCCCAGTTGCACAGGTCACCTCTCAAGTGTCTTCCCCTTCCAGAATTCCCCAGGTTTCCTGGGCCTTGATTCTCAAACACCTCCCTCATGCAGCCCTCCCTGACTGCACCAGTCACCAGGGACATGCTTTTCTTCAAGCTCCCTTCTCACTGTCTGTATTGGCCGCTCCTTGGGGAAACCACTCCCGCCCCCATCCTTGGGAGGACTCTCTGCTGCCTCTTACAAGGACAGAAGGTATTAGCATGGCTGAACCATCACAATGAGCCACATGTGGCCTGTGTCTGGGCCTCCCAGCTACCACATCTCCTACATTAGTGTGGGCTTGGGGACAGCAGATGTTTCTGAGTTCCAGGCCTGCTTAACCATTCACCAGTTGCGTGACTTTGGGCAAGTCACCTGACCTCTCTGAGCCTCTGTTTTCTCATCTGGAAGCTGAGAATAATGAAGCTTAATTCCTGGGCATGGGTACCTGTGGCAGCAAGGGCCATGGGGCAGGATGGGGGTGGGGAGAGAGCAGAGGACTCAATTTCCCTGAGAGCATCCGTGACACCAGGTGCTCATAATTCCATTTCTACAAACAGAGGCTCTGCATGGGGCTGTCCCGGAGCTGCTGGAGCTCACATGGGGCGAACTGCAGGGTCTGAGATTCACACTAGAGGCTCCCGAAGCACGAACTCTTCTGCCCCTGCTACTTGCCTGGGAGGTGCCTGCTGGTCAGTGGAGAGAGACTGTGTCCCCAAGGACTTGGCAGGACCTGGAGCCTGGGCAACGATGACAATAGCAGCAGCAGTAATAGTTAATACGGATGGAGCATCTACTCTATGCTCTTTTCATCCTCACAACAGCCCGATGAGGCAGGCCCATTGTGGGGATGAGGAAGCTGCGTCATCAGGAAGCAGTCAGTGGGGAGCTGGGCTGTGGACCTCTGTTGGTGCTCAGAGGTGTGTGATCCTGGGCATGAAACCCAGGCAGGGACCAGAGGTGGGGCTGGGTCACCAGGGAGGAGACAAGAGTCCAGAGGTCAGAGCCTGGGAGGGTCCGGGCAGAGCAGCCGGCAGCCCGGGAGGCTGTGCTGCAGAGGCCCCTGGGCACATCTGGACGCCTTTCTCAGCCTCGGTTTCCAGTTCTGGGGACTGGAGAGTTACACTGACCTGCGGCATCTCCCCTCCTGGCTCACTGAGGTTGGGGTGCACCTCAGAACTGAGGTGGGGCCGTGGGGCTGGCCGGGATGGTATTCCAGGCAGTGTTCTCACTTCTTGCCTCGTTTCTTGTCCAAGGGGAGCTGTACTTCATGTCAACGGGCGTGCCGAGTGCCACAGTGGCACGTGGGGTTGTCTACAAAGTGATCGACCCCTCCAGGTGAGTCCCCCCCACCCCACCCCCGTCATGGCCTCGGCTCCTACCGTCTTCCAGGAGCCCTCCCTTCCACTACCTCATTTCCCCTCTCTACCACTCTTTAAGGTGGTTGTGGTTAATATGCCCATTTTTCAGATGAGAAAACTGAGGCCCAGAGAGGAGAAGTGACTAGCTAAGTTCATACTGCTGGTGAGGGGCAGATCTAGGATTCAAAACCGATCTGCCAGCCTCAAAGTCCAGTTCTATTCTTGCTAAGTGGGCGCCAAAGATACCAGTGGGGGCCCATCCCATCACATTTTTTTTAATTCTTTTTTTAAATTTTAGAACAGTTTTAGATTTACAGACAAGTTGCAAAGATAGTACAGAGTTTCCCATATACCCCTCACCCAGTTTTCCCTATTATTAACGTCTTACATTATCATGGTACATTTGTCACAATTAATGAACCAATATTGGTACATTACTATTCATTAAATGTCACACTTTTTTTTTTTAATTGAGGTAACTCCATACTTTAAAAACAAAAGGATGTCTCTAGTTTTTCCCTAGTGTCCTTTTCTCCGGGATAGCATACAGAATCCCACATTGCATTTAGTCATCATGTCCTGTTAGCTTCCTCTAGTCTGTGACAGCTTCTCAGACATTCCTTGTTTACCACACTTTTCTGTTGAAAGCACAAAGCTATTAATTACTGATATAACTATTTATCAAGAAAAACATAAGCGCTTGCTCCTTTCCTCTCCCTGAGGCCTTGGCCCTCTTTGGATTTATGTCATTGTGGAGCAACACACGCAAACTTTGCATTTTTCTTCGTAGGTCTATCCTTATTTTGTATAAACATTTCCACGTTGCAACATTACCCTCAGAAGGCTCCTTTTTGATGGTGGCGTAATTTTCTGTTGAGTCACTGCACCGTGATTGCCTGATCCATCCCTTGGACATTTAGGTTATTTCCAGTTTTTGAAAAAAGAGTGCTTCTCTAAGGAAATATCACCTAATTCATGCCAGATGCTGCCTGAGACCCACTGTTTCCTTTAGTCTGTGCAGCATCCTTCTGGGCTCATGGCCCCCCGCGCAACAGAGGGAACCCGAGGCTTAGGGATTTCTGCTCAAGGTCTCGTGGGTGGGAGGAGCCAGCAACAGGCTAGACCCCCGTTCCCTCCCTCCCTCCGTGACCCTTCTCATCCCTTTTTCCATTTTTCTCTTTTGGAATCCATGTAATTTTGTGCATCCACAACATATTGAAGAGGGGCGCCATTCCAGAACATTTGGAAAATGAAGAAATGGGAAGCAGAGGGGGTAGGGTGGGGTCATCCATTGCCGCCCAAACATAACCACTGTGGCATTTTTTGGTGTATCTCCTACCCTTTGGCAAGACAAAAATTTTTATGTAATTTCCTTAAGGAACAAAACTCAGCTGGGTCCGTCTGAAGCGTGTGGCTATTATGTGGAGTTCAAAGCAGCCGGAAAACCCACACTTTCTGCAGCTTGGAGAAGGGCGTGAGCTGGGCTGTGTTTCAACCTCTGGGGGGAATGGCCCACGTCCCTCCTCGGTTTCCCTCTCTTGCCAGGGCTGTCTGAAAGCCACCCCAGGTCACGTGGCTGCTTCAGCCCTTGGGCTTCCCCTTCGTGCTCTTGGGACCCATTGAAGTCTTGGACCCACGTGGGTTGGTCCCAGAATAGTGTCGGTCCCATTCAAAGACTCACAGATCAACAGCCAGAAGCTCATTAAAATGGGATTCCATTCCTTACTTGTGCCCCTCAGAGATGTCCAAGGAGACCCAATTCATAGCCCTGGCAACCCTTCTCAGGCTCTTTTCTCTCCCAGCCCTCTCCAACCTCACATTCCAAGGCCCCCAGAGCCCTCAGCTCTGCTGCCAGCCCCGAGGCTTTCTCTCTCTCCCCACTTTATTCTTTAGATCGACTTAACCTTTCCCTTTGATTCTGTATCACCAGAAATCCCAGAACCAGAGGGGCAGAGAGAAACCCTCCTCAGAGGCTGTGGGGAATGGGGACCAGGGTAAAGTGCAGGAATGGGGCTGTGGTGACAGTTACAGGAGCTGGACCGGCAGGCTGGGGAGAAGGACTGTGACATTTGATCACATCCCAAGGACACTTCATGCTGAGAATTAGAAGTGGCCCTCCTGCTCTGCAGGCAGAGGCTGAGCGGGCACTTGGCAGGCCGTTATAGGGGGGTCCTGTCCTGGGGTTGGACTCTTGGGGTCTGGGAGGCGTGGACCAGCAGGGTCACTGCTCCGTAAGTGGCCACTGTTGTTACCACGTACACATGCCCAGGCCTGAATGAATGCACACCAGCCCTTTCCCTTCCTTCCTGGCTGCAGGGGGCAGGTGATGTTGGGGGGACATGCTCAGGGCGGGTTCCCAGGGTGCGGCTCATGACCTCTTGTGTGTCTGCAGACGGGCACCACCCGGCAAGTGTCAGATCCAAGCCGCCCACGTGAAGGTCCGGGGCCGCCTCATCCGCTTCGTGCCCAAAGAAAGTAAGTGTCCGCCAAGGTGGGGACACAGCGGGAGTTCCTGCAACCCACACCCACTGCCCCTCTTCCAGATGTGGATGCTCCCAGCGGGGCCTGGATGCCCTTCCTTGGCCCCCATGCCCAGCACTGGGCCCCGTACACAGGAGCTACTAGGAGTGGGTAGACCTGCTTAAACCTCCTTCCACTCATGCAGTGTCTGCCAGTCCCAGGCCACGGTGCGTGGCTCCAAGGGGCTGCAGGCCTCACAACGAGCATGGCAAAGGGAGAAATAGCTGGTCCCAGGCAAGGTTCACTCAGAGTTCTTGGGAGGGACAGAGAAAGAGGGTATATCTCAAGATTGGAATGAGTTATTATTCTAGGTGCAAGGGTGCCTAGGGGAGCGTTTGGGCTGGGTCTGCTATACGAAGGTTCTGTTTTGACGAGCTTGGTGGGGAGAGAGGGGTACAAATCCTCATGAGCCGAGGGCCAGGCAAAGCCACAGTGACCACCCATGGGATCTGGGGCCATCTGAAGAGGGTATGGCCCGAGGAGAGGGCTGTTCCACTGGGTCCAAGCTAGGTGGGAACAGAGAGAGACCCAGTGTTGTCAGATCTTCCAGTTCTCAGGACAAGCAGACTATCCATCCCTCCATCCATCCATCCCTCCATCCATCCACCACATACATGCGCTTCATACTGGGGCTATAATGCTGAGCGAGCAGATATGGTGCCTGCCTTCTTGGGTTGTTATTATACAATCTCCCGATTTGAAAATATTGGCAACTAGGTCACAATTTTCAAAACCTCCCTGTGGGCCAAAGGAAATACTTCAGTGGGCTGAGTGTGCCCAGCAGGTCTCCAGCTGGCAGACTGGGGTGGGGGGCAGGAAGAGGGGGAGGTTGGGTGGGTGGGGGGTACCCGGCCCCAAGGAAGGGGTGCCCCACCAGGAAGAGGAAGGCTGGGGAAGCTGGCTGTTTGGGGAATTCACTTGCAGCTGCAGTTGGTTTGGGGCCTTGGCAGAGTTTTCCATTCACTCATTCAGCAGTTTCTGCATTTCTGTTAGTTGCCCGCTGTGTGCTGGATGCTGGGGCCACAGAAGAAGTCAGACGAGGCCCAGTCTTGGCTGGGGCAGACAGAGGGGTCATTTAGTGTCCCAGGCCCCGTGACAGAAGTTGTGCTGGGCACCATGGGGACCCAGAGCAGTGCAGAGCTGGGGGTGGAGGGGGAGGGTTGGGAAGGTCCTGGAGGCTGAGGGTTGAGCCTGGATGGAGAGGAAAGTGCATTGCAGAGGCCGGGGAAGGGCAGCCTAGGCAGTGAAGGAAGCAGGAGAAGCAGGAGCCCTGGGAGCTGGAAGTCCCTCCCTGCAGGTGGAGTGGGGACCAGGGTGCAGGTTGGGGGAGCGTCTGGCTCATGTTCTGGCCCCGGCCTGCACCTGGTCTTGTGTCCAGGCCCTTTCTCAGCCCCTGTCTCAGTGGGTTTCCAAGTGAGACGGGCCGGTGGCCCCAGGATCCCTGCCCATAGTAACTGAGCAGTTTGGGGTTTCCACCTCCCCTGAGGGAGGCAGTACCTGGCAGAGTGTCTGATGTGGAGTGACGTTTAGCCCTATGGCTGACCTGGGCCAAGCGTGAGGGCCACGTCCTGCAGGGACAAAGGGAATCACCCACCGCAGCTCCCCGACACCTAATGAGTCCAGGTCCCCGTGGAGGGGTCAATGGGCGGGGGTCAGTGTGGACCACAGCCCCGCACCTAGAGAGCTCCTGACCAGCCCTCCCTGTGATGGGCAGGGGGACCAGCAGCCTTGGGAGCCTGGAGGGGAGGGCTTCACCTGAGCAGAGGGGCCCCGGGCAGGCTGGTTCCCATCCTGCTGGCCTGCCCTCCACCCACTGCAGTTCCCCCCCACCCCCCGCATCAGCCGTCCTCCGCTTCCTCACCCTTAAACCAGAGATTGGAGCCAGAAAGCGTCATTTGCTCTGAGAAGCTCTCCCAGACACTCCTTCCCTGCCACTGCGCTTAGGAATTTACTGTGTGAGAGTCCTTCCCCTGCCAGACAGGGGACTCCCAGAAGGGGAGGAGGAATGGGGGTGGGGAGAGGCCGAGCAGCAGAGGCACAAAGCAGCTGCCAGCAAGTGTGTGCAGAATGGCTGCAGAAGCACCTGGCATTCAGCTCCAGGTAGGCACCTTGTGGAGCCAGAGTGACCCAAGAAGCACACTTGGGGCACCTCATCCTCAGGGTCTGAGTAGAGGGCAGAACGAGGACATCTTTCCCTGGGGTCTGCATTCCGGGGTGAAGAGCCGGGGTGGGGTGGGGTCGCATGGGCTGGGCTGGGGCGGCCGGGGCCCTTCCGAACACAGGCTCTTCCTCTGCGCAGAGTTCATCCGGAGGATGGAGAGCACCCCGCGGCCCACGGCGCCCGCGCCCACCAAGGCTCCCCGCCGCAGCCGCCCCACGACCCCTCCACTTGCGCCCACCCTGCGGCCGGCACGACCCACCCCGCGGCCCGGGCGCCGTCGGGGCGGCGGGCGGCGGCGGGGACGGCTGGGCACCGCGGTCCCCGAGCCCTCGAACGGCGCCGTGCGCCTGGTGCGGCCCCCGGGCCTGAGTCCAGGCCGCGGGCGTGTGGAGGTGTTCGCGGGTGGACGTTGGGGCACCGTGTGCGATGACGCCTGGGACACCAAGGGCGCTGCCGTCGTGTGCCGCCAGCTGGGCTTCGCGTACACCGTGCGGGCCGCCAAGCGTGCCGAGTTCGGCGAGGGCCACACGCTGCCCATCCTGCTGGACGACGTGCGCTGCACAGGCAGTGAACGCAACCTACTGGAGTGCGCGCACGCCGGCCTGGGTTCCCACAACTGCGACCACCAGGAGGACGCCGGCGTCGTGTGCAGCCGCGAGAACCCCGATCTGTAGGCGAGCATCGTCTGTCTGTCTGGCCAGCCGGGCTCTCCATTGTGCGTCCAGAGCCCGTCCAACCTGTGCGCGCCTGGTGCGTGCGCCCGAGTCTGAGGGTGGGGGGAACGTGGGGGGTGGCCTAGGGGTGGCCCATCTGTAATGCTGTCCTGTGGTGCGTGCAGTGCACGCGTGTTCTTTGTGTGTTCCTGCCCACGTGGCTGTGAAACCCCGCAGCGCAGTGTGTGCTGGGGCCCGTGTGGCCCCTGTGGCCGTGTGGTTGCAGCCTGAGGTGTTCTTTGCTTACCTCCAGGCACCTCAAGCAGCGGCAGGAGCACAGTCTGGTGGAGCCCTGAGCACTGCGGGCAGCTGCCCTTCAAGGGCAGACATGACCTCACTGCACTAACAGAGGCACAGCCGGCGGGTGGAGGGAGGGGACCAGGCCTGCCCTGCCCACGGTGGGGAGTGGAAGGCCCCAGACCAGCTGGAGCACGGCTTGAGGAACGTGGCCCAAAGGGCGTGGACCGGTGGCCTGGCAGTCAGGGTTGGTGAAGAGAGCACGAAGGCATCTAGTAGGGGCCAAGGGAAGTCATCAGACTGATGGGTCCAGGGTGACCCCTGGGCTGTGGCTGTCCCAGCGAGGGTCAGGCTGCCTAGGAGAAGCGAGTGCCGGGGTGGGCTGGCAGGGATTACTGGATGACTTCCGGGAGAAGCCTTCTGGGCCTCAGCATCACGCAGGACCCAGCCACTCCGAGCACCACGGTCGCTGGTGAGGCTTCAGATTTCTCCACTTCCGAGCCGGTGCCAGGGCCACCTCTGTCACCTCCATTCCCCACCCACCCTGTTCAGTGAGATCCCAGGGAACCCTCTGCCTCCTCAACCCAACCCCGGGGGCCGACCGGGCTGCGGACCCAGTGAGACCACTGGTGCTCTGTCACCCAGTGCTGTGCCAACAGCACGACTGTTTACAAACCCCCTTCCTGCCTCTTTTCTCTGACTCACACCTGCCTGGAAGCGGAGGGAGGGGGTGGGAGAAGGGGGCTGGGTCTGCAGCCTCTGTCCTGCTCACAGGTGGAAGTTCCTTTGCCCACTAAGGGCCTCAGCCTTGGCTCATGCCAGGCCGGTCAAGGGGCATCAAGTATGGCTGGGCTCAGCCTCTGATAGGGGGCCAGGGAGGGGAAGCAGATAGATGGTCACCGGGCAGTGAGGACCGGATATGGCCCGTGTCGGGGGCGCGGGGGAGGGCTCTGGGTGGGGCATCCCAACCCAACCTGGGTGTTGTCCTGGGAGTTGAGCTGGCACTAGGGATGGTGTGCCTGGCAGAGGAAATGGTGCGGGCAGAAGCCTGTCGGGGTCTCCCAGCTGCTCACTGAAGCTGAGTGTGGAGTATGAAGCTGCAGAAAAAAGCTTTAGGGTCACCCTCTCGAACTCCCCCCTACCTCTGCCCTAAGTGGGGTGGGCGAGGGACCCAGACCCTTGTGGCTCCTCTAACCCTGTTGAGCCCCGCGTGCAAACCACAATTAACCCTGCCACTGACTGTGGCCTGTGTGCTGGGCACCGTCGTAAGAACGGTGCCGCATACCTGAAGTCATTCAATCCCCGCAACAGCCCTCTTCCTCCCCTTTTACAGATGAGGAAACCGAGGTGCACAGAGCTTTATATCTTAGCTGAGATCACCCAGCCAGGGAGGGGGAAGCCAAATTTGAACACGAGCTGGCTAGCCCTAGCACCCGCCAGGTGTATAACCACTGAACCCCCTGGCTATACCCGCAGAAAGTCTCAGCATGGCCCAGGGCCCCTGCCCGCTGTAGGCTGCCAGCCTTGCTGGGAAATAGCTGATGGAGACCCCCGTGGGTCCCTTCTGCCAAGCAGGTGGCTGTGCCACCTCCCACTGCCCAGGGGTGGTTGACTGGGCATCTTCCAGGTCGCTGGGACATCTGGAATTGTTAGGAGCTGGGAGGCCCGTGGGGACCATCCAGGCCAAACTCCTCACTGTGCTGATGGGGAAATGAACCTGGGAGGCTGAGTGTCCCAGGCCTTTGGTCAGATGGGGCCGAGCTAAGACTAGAGCCCAGGGAAGGCGGGGTGGCCCTCGGGGCCCTCAGAGCGGAAGGGCCAGGGCTGTTGGTCCCTCTGGCTTAGAGGTGGGGTATGGCTTTTAGCAGCCTCTGCCTCCTCTTCCTAGGGCTCCTCTGTGCTCTTTCCTGCCCCTCCCCACCCTGTGGAGCCCCCTTCCTCAGTTCAAGGCCTGGAGGACATGATGCCACAAGGCAGGGCCTGGGAGGTGGGCACCTCCCACTGCACCTCAGCACCCACAGCCTGGGCCCACCATCTGGGGCCCGTGGCACTTTCCCCAAGTGGCAAGGGGGAGTGGTCCAGCCCTCCACTGGGCCCTGAGTGTCACTGTTGTTTGTTGGGGCAAGTAGGGGAGGTCCCAGGCCCCATCACTCCTCTGGGCAGTGCTGGCCTTGGCCCGTCAGTGTTGCAGGAAGGGTGCTTCCCCTCCCATCACCCCTCAGGCTCCAAATAAGGCTGAGGCTGCGGCCTGACTCCTGAGAATGAGGCTCACAGAGACACACTGCTGCTTTACTAGTAATAATAAGGGCAGGTGGCTGACATCGGCTGAGCACTTACTATGCCAGGCACTGTTCTAAAGGCTTTACATATTAGGCACTCTTTAATCCTTGTATTAACTCTATGAGGTAGGTGCTAGGGTCACCCTCCCACCCATTTTACAGATGTGGAAGCTGAGGCCCAGGGGCCCTTAGTTACTTGTCAGATGTCACACAGCCAATATTAGAAATCAGGCAGCCCGGCTCTGGAGCCCCAGCTGTGTGCTGTCACGCTGTGCTACCTCAAGAGCACTGAATTCAGTGTCCCCCTCGTTGGGCCCCATCATTGTGCAGATGGGGACACGGGCCCAGGGAGGGGCAGGGCTAGGCGCAGACTCCCTGCCCCGTGCTCCTTTCACTCCACCACCAGCCTCGGAAAGCCAAGGGAGCAGTCACAAGTGACTCTGTCCCCAGGGACTTTGATCCTGCCTCTGAGTCCTCTAAAGTCGCTGGGGATGGAGGCTAGTCTGGGCCAAGGCTCTCCATGCTCCCTATAGGCCTCTGCCCTCACTGCCTCGAATCTGGCCTCCAGCCAGCAGCTAGAGTGATCTCTCAGAACCTGCCCAGAGAGGGACTGCCTCTGCCCAGCGTCACACAGCTTAGTTCTGGAGCCCTTGGAGCCACCGCTGCAGGGATGTCCCAGGTGTGGCCCTGCACCCAGGACTGCATCCATGGTGTCAGCCTCAGGTAACAACACTCCAGGTCTCTGGCTGGGCCTCACTGGTTCCCTGTTCACCTGCATCCCTCTGGCAAGCCTCAGCTGGGCTGGGCCCTAGGTGGCCACTTTTCTCCTCTGATGACAGGAAAGACCCACTGTCCCTGGCAGCCCTGACAGCTTCAGTCTGTGGCTGAAGGCAACCAAGCTAGGGAGCAACCTTCAGCTCCCCAAGGCATTCCTATGTTTACGCTTTGCAAATGCTTGGCTGGGAGACAACGACTGGGATGTTAGGGGTCCAGCCTTGACTGTGTGACCTTGGCAAGGTCACTTAACCTCTCTGAGCCTCATTGGAAAACAGAAGTAATCAGCAGGATTATTGGAAGAAAAATGAGGTAACATTTACAAACATGCCCAGGACGTTCTGTATTGTTTCTGGACAGAAAGCTCAGTAGCAGGCTGTTGGCGCCCACATTGGCAGCTGCCAACTGCACAAGACAGGGCGGGAGGGGCATGCCAGGTAGAGGGACCAGCATTAGAATGACCCAGGGACAAATCCTCAAAATGGGAGGAAGATGAGCCCCTTCAGCTAACATGTAGAACCCACATCTTTTTTTTTTTTTTTTGCGGTACGCGGGCCTCTCACTGTTGTGGCCTCTCCCGTTGAGGAGCACAGGCTCCGGATGCGCAGGCTCAGCGGCCATGGCTCACGGGCGCAGCCGCTCCGCGGCATGTGGGATCTTCCCGGACCGGGGCACGAACCCGTGTCCCCTGCATCGGCAGGCAGACTCTCAACCACTGCGCCACCAGGGAAGCCCAGAACCCACATCTTCTTGTGGCAGCATCTGTCCTCTGGTCTTGCTGCAAAAACTAACCTTTATTGATCACTTACTATATGCCAGATGCCTCAGGTATGCAGGATCATTTAATCCTCACAACTACCCCATTAGGCACCCCTGACACTGAGGACAAAATAATGTTGCCTGCCATCCTGGTGAACGATGAATGTTGCCTGCCATCAAGCCATCAGCCACTGCAGCCACCCGCTACGGTGCGCCCTGAGGGGAATTCAAGATGGAGAAAAACTGGATACTGGCCCTCATAGTTAAGATGCGTGTCTAAGGAATAATTTCAATGAGCCCAGACTCATTGAAATCATTGAAATCTTTGAGCCCAGACTCAAGTTAAAATCATTAACTTGAGATGTCTGGTTTTTGTGATTAGCAGTAATCTTTTGATGTTTGACTACATGTTTTTTATTTTCAGCAAAAACTCCTATATATGTATCCTGGCTCCACCCTGACCTCTTTGGAACAGTTCCCGAGCTATCTGAGAGGCTGTCTCCCAGGCTATAGTCCTCAGCAATGTCCCCAAATAAAACATAACTCCCAACTTTTAGGTTGTACATTTTTCTTCAGTCAACAGTTCTTTTCCAGATGATCTCCAAGTTGGCTATGTGACTGGGTCCCTTATTCAGAGGGGGGTTAGCTTTGAACCAAGGAGCTTGATCTTTCTCTTTCCCTGGTTACTGTGCCTGTGCCCTGCCTCCTAGGAAACCACTTCCTGTATGGAAGCCATGTGGCCAATAGCTACCACAGTGGATAACATTTGTCCAGACCTTCCCAGTGAAGGGCCAGGTGGTTGGCCACATGCTTCCAGGCAGCTCCCTCTGCTGGGGGCTTGCAGTGCTGCATGTCCAGGCAAAGGGCTTCCCCTGGGAGCATCAGTGTACAGTCTTAAGCATTCCCTGATGCTCACAGGAGAGCCGGGAGGCTCAGATGAGGTGGCGATGGGACAGAGCCAGAGGTCACTGGTATTGACCCATGCACCAGAGAATATTAATGCCCACTTCTCTCCCTAGCTTAGTTGGACAGGTTCACACTGACAATTATACCCTGAGGCTGTCCCATGCCTGCCCCAGATTGTGGCCAGAGCAGTTTAAGATCTGGTCCTGACCTCAAGGAACAATTGTTTGGTGTCCTCCCTTCAAATTGCCCCCAACCCCTGGAGGTTTCGCAACCTAGGAGGGTCTGTCCTGGTCTCCCCGCCTCCCTCTCTCCTGCCCCTCAGGGCCAGCCAGTGCGTGCCTGTGACTGCTTTTCACCACCACATGGGGGCAAGGTGGCAAGCCACCATCTCCCAGCCCTAGGGGGAGGATGGTGCTCCCCCTAGGATGGGGCCCCATCCCCAGAGCTGGAATGGATGTCCAGCTTGCCGTGCTGGGGACAGAAATCCTGTCCCCTCCGTGCTAGACCCCACTCTTAAAGCTTGGCCCTCTCTGACACCCCATAGCCCACACGCCCCAAACACTCATGCCCCTGGTGGGGACTGTCCCTGGCTGTACCTGGGAAGGAGGTATACAGGCCTTCTCTGTTTTTCCCAAACCTCTCAGGATTCTGGGACTCTGGCCCAGGGGCATGTCCTTTTCTCAGAAACTCAGCAGCATCTAAACTCTTTGGGCATCTCCTCCCCGGCTGTAAGGATCTTTTTTTTTTTTTTTTTTTTTTGCGGTACGCGGGCCTCTCACCGCCGTGGCCTCTCCCGCCGCGGAGCACAGGCTCCAGACGCGCAGGCCCAGCGGCCACGGCCCACGGGCCCAGGCGCTCCGCAGCACGCGGGATCCTCCCGGACCGGGGCACGAACCCGCATGCCCTGCACCGATAGGCGGACTCCCAACCACTGCGCCACCAGGGAAGCCCGGCTGTAAGGATCTTTATCTGGGTTAGGAGGGGGCACACCTGGCCCTTCCCATCCACTGCTCTCCTTCTGGGTTGCTCCTGAGTCTAAGAATTGGGAAGTAAAAAGCCCAGAGCTGGCCTCTTCTGTCATACCCGGATTGGTAAGAAGAAGTAGGTTATAAAAGGGAGGAAAATCTTCGTTAGTAGTTCGAAAATACCCTTTGACCACCCCGGGCATATTTCTCGCTTTCGCGCTTGAAGGGGACTTTCCGTAACCAGATTTTCACCCACTCCAACCCTTCGGACTTGGGTCAACGCCTTGGACGTTGCGGTCGCGGTCCCCCAGTGGGGCTTCCCCTTGGTCTGGGTGGCAGCCGTGTGCTCTTCATTCGCAGGCATAGGCCTCCCTGTGTCCCCGGGGTCCTCTTCACCTGCCCCGTGTGGACAGGCCGGGCAGGGGAAACCAGCTTTGGCGGTTGGGGTTCCGGGGAGAGGTTTGGGAACAGTCGGCGTGATACAGAAACTTGGAGGCTGGGATGGGGTTTCCAGGAAGGTTTAGGGAGGAAAGGAAGGGGCCTAAGAACGCGCGCGGAGAAACGCCGTTATTTGGGGGCGCCAAACCGGGCAGAGAAGCCAGCAGGATTTAGCGCCGCCGCCAGGTCAGCAAGCGCCGAGGAATTAGGGTTGCCAGGGACAACGCGTTCTGGGCGGAGCTGCTGTTGGGGTGGAGCTTGAGGGATGTGGGCGGAGGCTTGGGAGGCGGAGAGAAGGCGGAGCTAGGGGGGGGGTCTGAGCCAGAAGTGGAGTTGTTATTGGTGGAGATCACATGCTCTGGGCGGGGCCTGGGAGCTGGGAGGAGACAGTGTTGATGTTAGGACGGAGCTTCAGGATGGGCGGTGCGAAGCCGGGGCCGGCCCGGAGAGCTGGAGCCGGAGGCGGAGACGTGGTTGGCGGGGACCGAGCTCCTGGGAGGGGTCGCAGCCGGCGGGGGCGGAGCCGAACGGGCGGGGGCGGTGCTGGGTCGCGCCAGGCCTGGGGCCGAGGCGGCGCGCGGCGCTGACAGCTGAGTCGGCTCGCGGCCTCCCGCCCCCTGCGTGCCCGGCCCCGACCCCGGCCTGGCCTGCCCCGGAGCCATGAGCCCCGGGCTGCTGATGCTGCTCGGCAGCGCCGTCCTGGTCGTCTTCGGCCTCTGCTGCACCTTCGTGCACCGCGCTCGCAGCCGCTACGAGCACATCCCCGGGCCGCCGCGGCCCAGGTGAGCGGGGGGTGGGGGCGGGGACCTGGATGGGGCTCTCGCATGGGGGGCCGGGGGACCGCGTCCAAGCCGGCATCGGGTCCAGCCTTGCCATTGCGCGCGGCCGCTTGGAAACGGCGGCAGGGAGAGGGGCGCTAACTATTCTTAGTAACAAATTACTCACAGCCGCAGCAGCTGCTCGGCGCCCACCGCGCTCTGCTGGGCCCCGAAAACGTGATGGCAGCGACAACCCTGTTAGGTAGGCGCTATTGTTACCCCATCGTTCAGACGAGGAGACTGAGGCGCGCAGAGGCAAAGTCACCTGCCCAAGGTCACACAGTTGGTAAGCCTAGATTTAAACCCAGGTCAGCCTGGTTCTAAAGTGGGTGCTCTTAACTTTGGGACTTGGATGGGGTCACTCAACCTGGGTTGTCATACACTGTACTTTGGTCACATCCCCCCTCTTTTTTTAAAATTTCTGTCCTGGTATCTCCTTTTTGTCTTCTCCTTGGTACTTCCATTCCATCCTCGGCCCTCACCCCACTCACCTTACCTCCCCTCTACTCCACCAGAAGTTCACCTTTCTGAAGTGTCATTTCTGTGTCATTCAGACGTGTCATTTCTGTGCTCCAAAGGCTTCCCATCACTTAGAACTAAATCTACTTCTAAATTAAGGCTACTCTGGGGCCAGCAAGGCCCCTGCTGGGCTCTCAGAACCCGCTCTGTACTGTTCTAACCCCATGCTTGCTCACTGCTGCCTCCAGTTCTTTCTGCATGCACCCACCCCAGCTGAACCCCTCCTCCCGGGTCTTCCTTTTCCCCACCCACCCTGTATAAAGCCCACCTCCTAGCTCCAAGCTCCTTATGGGGCCATCATCCCTGAAGTTACCTTCTGTTCACCTGTTGACTGTCTGTCTCCCCCTTTAGAATGTGAGCCCCGGGAGGGCAGGGCTACTGTGTGTCCACTTGTGTATCCCCAGAGCCTGGGACACTGCAGATGCTCAATAAACACTTGTTGACTGAGTGAATAAACAAGGGTATTAGACACACTTCTTAAAACCTCAGGACACCAACATTCTGGAAGGCACCCACCTCCAGCACAAGCCGGATGCCCTGGCATTTGAAGCCTGAATCCCTGCTTGGTGGGTTCGGGAAAGATCTCTAGCTGGGGACACAGGGAGGCAACTGTTCTCCCTGCCAGCTCTCTCTCCTCCCAGGTGCCCTCTCCCACCCTTTTCCCTTACTTCACAGCTGTGTCTTCCCCTCCATCTAGATGGTTCTTCCCCCAGCCTTCTAGGCTTGTCTTAAATGCCAGCTCCTCAGGGAGGCCCTACCTGCTCCCACACGCAAATATATTTTGTTCATTTTATAAACTCTAAGTCACCTGAATGGTAATTGGGTAACTATTTGTGCTACCTCTTGTTAAGTGTCTGTCTCTCCCATAGGCCTGTGTCTGTCTTGTTCACTGCTGTGCCCCTGACATCTAGCTCAGCATGCACAGTAGACCCTGGATAAACTCTGATCCAAGGTGGATGGTGGAAGGCTCCTGCCAATCCTGTTAGATACACTCTCACCCTTTCAGGTTTTCAAATCAGCCGTCAAGAGCTTGGAATTGAATGAGTTTTGTGCTCATTCTGACAGGCCTCCTCATGACTTGACCTTCTCATAAACCCAAGTGCTTCAAACACTGCAGACCTGAGCCAATCTCTGTGTCTTAAGAAGAGAGAACTTAAGTCAA